CAATTAATTTCACGTTTTCTTCTCACACAAATAGTATTGTGATGCTGTTGTTAGATGCCATCAAGTCAGCTTCAATCTATAACAACTTTCTTTAAACAGCATATCTGTACCCTGCCCTGCCATGTGCCATGCTCATCATCTCTGATATACTTGAGCCCATTGTTATAGTCCCTGTGACAATCCATCTTATTGAGGTTCTTCCTCTTTCACTGACTTCCACCTTTCTTCGCCCGATTCCCAAAGTATATGAGATGAAGGTTCACTATCCTTACCTCTAAGGAACACCCTGGTTTTACTTTCTCCAAGACATATTTGTTCTGTAGATAGCACATAGGATATTCATACTATTTTCCAACATTGTGACTCAAAGGCATCGATTCTTCTGTCATCCTTATCTACTGTCCAGATTTCAGATGCGTAACAAGAAATTGTTAAGAATATGGATTGGATCAGGTGCACATTAGTCTTTAAGTAGACACTGTAGCTCCTTTGAACTTTGGAAAGGACAGACTTTCCCAATACATCTTGTGATGTTTGACTCTTGGAACCAACCGTGTGGATTGTGAATTGTAAGATTGAATTGTTGATAATTTGTATGGAAATGTTTGTTATTATTTTACTCACAGATGAAGCATGGGGTAAAGAATATGCAGCTCTTGTCTCAAGAGAATTAAGAATTAAGTAAAATCTGTAAGGAAATGTGAATCTTTCTTTACAAGAGCGGGGAAGACAACACCATCCTAGATAGAGTCATTCTCAAGGTCAGTTCGGTGGGCCCTGTCCTGCAGACAATGCTGCTGTCCCCTAGGAGGTGACACTGAGCTGCTCCAGCACTGGGAAATCTCGGGACTACATGCTCAAGGACAGCTGATGACTTTGAGTCTCTTGTTTCCACTTCAATTCTTCAATTTTCTTAGAGGCCTTATTCCCAGTCAGTTGTCTATTTATTCTCGGAATCTTATTTCTTTAACAATTCTATTAGAGGAGTTAAAGCTGAACCCCACTGTGAAAATGATCCCACTTACAGTGGCAGAGTTTAACAGGGTAGCAAGTAATAGATGTTGGAGAAGATGTGGTGAAAAAGGAACTCTTATACATTGTTGATGGGATTGTAAACTGGTACAACCATTCTGGAAAGCAGTTTGGCTTGTCCTCAAAAAGCTGAACATAGAAATTTCATACTTGGACTATACTCTGAGAATTTAAGAACTGAGGCACAAACTGAGATTTGTACACCAGTGTTCATATCAACATTATTTACCATCTCAAGAACAGGGAAACTACCCAAATGTCCAACCAAAAACAAATCAATTGAGACATTATGGTGTGTTCACACAATGGAATACCATGCAGCACGCAGAAGTAATGATTTTTGTAAATTATTACCTAACTTGGGAGGAACTGGGGAGCATTATGTTGAGTGAACTCAGTCCCACAAAAATAAATATTGTATAAAACCATTATTAGAATGAGTATAAGGATCCAAGAGGGGTGAGAGAGGATGGAAGCAGGGGCATGAGGATGTATAGGGGGAGGAGTTGTACAATTTGATGAGGGGAGTGAGGGAAATTGAAAGAATTTTTTTCTTTAAAACAATATATTCGAATTTTGTAGATAAACTAGTAGGAAAAAATTAAAACATAAATTTAGGTGGGTTCATAGATACCTGAGTGTACTGGTGAGCAAAGGAGAGTGTGGGGGCTCAGATGAGTCATAGAAGAAATAGGAGAATGCTCCTTGTGAAGATGGAAAGACTTCCGCTTCCCTGCTTTGAACGTGTCATCAGGAAAGATCCGTGTCTTACATTGTGTCTGTGTTAGTGAAAAGGAGAGACACCTTCTGTGAGATGGATCGCCACAGTAGCCACACGGATGCACTTGAGCATGTGGTCGTGGTCAAGATGGTGTGGCACTCGACATAGTTTGTCCTGTTACATCCAAAGTCACTGTCACCTGGTCTTTGACTGATGATAGTAAAATCTGAAGGAGCACTGGGTTTCTTTTTTCTTTTTTTAGGTGGGGGTTCTTTTGTTGAGCCAGAACAAACTCAAAGCTAACCTGCTGGTGGGTTTCAAAGGTTGTAAATCACGCAGGAGGAGATTGCTCATCTTTCTTCCATGGAGCGACTGGTCAATTAAAACTGTGCCTTTGGTTTGGCAGTGCAGCGCGTTACCACTAGGCTACCAAGGCTCCCTGGATTTCTGCTAAGAGTAGTTACAAACTTCTAAAATGGGTGATGGTAACACAACATTTTAAATGTAATCACTCTGGCTAATCTGTACATTTAAAATCGTTGAAGTAGCAAAACTCCTAGATGTATATGACCACTATAAAGTTTAAAAGCAAACCTAAAAGCTTCATTAGCTCACTCTCCACTGGCTGGCTAAGGCCTCCTCCCTCCAGGTCCTGTGTTCTGCATGGCCAGCACTAGGTGTAGCCACAGGAACTCCATGTGTCCCTTGGATGTCTTCTTTTCCTAGGCCTTGCAGTGTAGCTATCTATGTTCCTTTCCAGGTCCGCCTCCCTGAACCAAATGCACACTCCAAACTCTGACCATTGCTGTCCTCTTGAGTTTGAGTTCATGATGCTTTGACCTTCATTGTTTCTCTTTTCCAGTCCTATCCTTGTTCACCCACTCTTACTCTGATTTATTGTCCTTTCTGTAAACATTTGCCACAAGAGAAGGATGGGCAGTTTCCTCCCATGTGACTAACTGCCTCTGAAAACCCACTGGAGGGTCAGCTATGGGTCAGTTCTAGCGCAACAATACACAACCACAACACAACCATAAATATTACCTCACAATATTTTGAGTGCTATGTACAGAAAAGCCCATATCCAACTCCTTCTCCCTCCTTATTGATAAAACAGTTGGGTTTAAACTGTACTGGGTTTCTTGAACACACATGCTGGATGTTTTCTCCCAGGAGTCTTGAGTTTCCAGTGTCTCCCTAGTAAAACTGTGTCCCCCTGTCAGCACGGCCGCATAGACAGAGACTTCCTAAGAACTGCTGCGAGGAACCCTGATAATGCAGCTTAAGATCCAGACATTCTACCCTAAAGGCTGGATGGAGTTTTAAGCCCACAAAACAACCCAACAGGATCAAAATTGCTTTAATATCACTATAGCCTGCCTACTCTTATTGGAGGAAATTAAATCCATCTGCGTTTGATCTTGACTGTAAATTTATTGTTCCAGACTTCTGCCAAAGACTAATGCTGAATTCATTTAAATTAATAGACATTTTTTTCATGTTACATAACTTGGTATGGTCCACAATTTCTTCACAGGTTTTTTAAAGCCAGGAATTATATGCAGACAGCTGAGCACTCTTTGCATAGAGGGGATCCCACACATCCAGCATGGCCTACAGAATTGCTTCCTTCCTACCTTCCTTCCTATTTGTTTTCATTCTCTTCTTCTGATTTGATCTATTCACCTCAGCATCAACAGAAACTAATAAAACAAAAGTAATGAAGATGATGGCACCAAGGTCTTGTTACTGATTTGTTTGAGCGAGTCATACCGATGTGTGGTTGCTTTCCGCACAGCCTCTCTCTTAAACCTTCTCGATGACTATTGTTGTTTACTATTGAGTTGGAACAGATTCAAAGGGGAAATAAGTATTACTCCCTGGTTATCTGTCAGGGAGCTCTGGGGGCCTGGTGGTAAGAAGCTCTGCTGTAATCCTGAAGGCATGCGGTTCAAATCCACCAGCTGCTCCACAGAAGAAAGATGGACAGTCTCCTCCCGTGCGCATAACTGCCTCTGAAAACCCACTAGAGGGTCAGCTGTGGATTGGTTCTGACTCTAAGGCATGCAGTGACAAGGGTTAAAGATGTGAAATCTTGTTGTGAGTTAGTTGTTCACTCTTTATTTGCTTCCCGTCTTAATTGATGAGGAGAAAATCTACATTTGGTGCTTGTATATCTTTTGCAAGCTCAGGTTTTTCTCATGGCCCAAGACTTGATGCTTAACCATGTACAGAATTTTCAAACACTGTGTGCTTCTATTGCATGTGTTTTCAGTCACCTTCTGTGCTTGGCAATTTGTGGTAGTTTTCTACTGCTGGTTGTGCTATGAAGTTTCCTTTGGAAATAAACTATGTTAAGAAAGCAAAAAATAGGTCAGCTGGGCACGTGGAAGTACAAGTGCTTGTATGCAGGCTGTGAAGGTCCCCCCAGCACACAGAACTGTTCTGAAATCTCACAAGCTGTTCCCACATGATAGCATTTGAACCCTAGTGCCCCTGCACCCCTTCCTGTGCCTCAAGTTTTGTGATGTCTCTTGCTTCCTGAGGGAGGCAGGTAGCACCTCTCTGTCAGTCTGCTGTTCCCTGGGAAGGGATAAAGGGTAGAATTGTCTATGGTGCCTCCCCTTCCCAATGGTCCCACCACTCTACTAAGATCTTTTCCCATTGACGCTAGTAAAATACTAAGTTAAAAAGGGAGTTTTCTCACTAATTTTAACCCAGACTAATCCAGCCTTAAGAAATTGATGCCTCTAAGTTGAAATGTTGGAAAAGAGCACAAAATACCTCATGGGCTGCCAAGGGGAGAAACAAATACATCTTGTTGGGGGTGCAGCCATAATTCTCCTTAGAGGGAAGGACCGGAAAACTTCATCTCCCTTTCTTTGAGCGTGTTGTTAGGATGGCCCAGTCCTTGGAAAAGGATATCATGCTTGGAAAGATAGAGGCTAAGTGAAGGAAGGAAAGACCCTCAACAAGATGGGCTGATGCAGAGACTGTAACAATGGGCTCAACTGTGGCAGAGATGATGAGGCTGGCACAGCATAGGGCAGGGTTTCCACCTGCTGTTTATAAGGTTGCTATGAGTTAAAGTCAACTTGACAGGGCCTAACAACAGCAGCAGTCCAGTTCTCCCATCATACCATCAATGTAGGCAGACAATCTCTCATCATAAGCATGTGCTGTGTTTGTGAGTGTGTGTGCACACGTGTGTGTTTGTCTAATATATCCTTTTATCTTTTTTCCACAGTTCATTTATGATGAAAAAGTTTCCTGGTAAGTACCTTATTTCTCCTGCCATCTCGCTTCCTCTTGTTATATTGTAGAGCCAAATATATACAAGACCCAAGTTAGAGTTTAGGAGAGAAAGGGAAGATTCATGAAGTTTTGCTACAACTAGAACTTCTCTGTACACCTCAATAAAAAAATGGAATTATCTTGCAGAGTATAGACCTCCTAGGTTAGGATAGTGAAGGCAGTGTTCTCCATGGGAGACCCTAATAACTTTTCATCCAGGTTAGGTATTCTGTCTGAATGGTACCTTTCTATAGCCAGTCACTTGGTAAGTCATTACTTTTTTGTTAATATTTCAAACTGTGATCAAACCACACCCCCATATTCCGTATGTCAATGGAACCAGAATCATTTCAATCTCCTTGACCATTTAAAGGTTCTGTCCAGTGTTAAAGAAACCCCTGTTGTTTTTGTTGTTTTTGTTGTTGTTATGTGCCATCAAGTCACCTGTGACTCATAGCAACCCTATGTAAAACAGCTCTGAACCCTGCCCTGTCCTGAGCCAATCTCGTTGTCTCTGGCAGACCCAATCCCACATCTCCAGTCACTAGTCAACCCATCTCATCCTGAGTCTTCCTCTCCTGCACTATCCTTCCACCATTCCAAGCATGATGCTCTTCTTCAGGGACAAGTTCCTTCCTGGCCTCGTGCCCAAAATTTGTGAGATGGAACTTCAAAATCCTTGCCTCCAGGGAGCAGCTTGGTTTCACCCTCTCCATGACTGTTTTTCTATGCTTAACGGTCTTCTCTAGCATTACAGTTCACAGGCATCAATTCTTCTTCTATCATCCTTGGTCACTATCCAGATTTCTGATGCATAGCAAGTAATTGCAAAGACCATGGCCTGGATCAGGCACACTTTAGTCTCTGGACTGACATCGTTGCTTTTCAGTACTCTGGAGAGATCCCTAGCAGCAAACTTTCCCAATACAATTCATCTTTTGATTTCCTGACTACTGGTGCCAAGAGTGTTGATTGTGGAGCCAAGCAAGCTGATGCTGTTAATAATCTCAGTCTCTTCTCTATCATGAAGCTTCCAGTTGACCCAGTGGTGAGAATTTTTGTTTTCTTGATATTGAGCTTCAGTTCATATTGAAGACTACAGTCCTTGACTTTCCATGGCAAATACCTCATGTCTTCCTCAGTTTCAGCAAACAAGGTTGTGTCATCTGCATAACATACATGGTCAATGGGTCTTCCTCCAGTCCTGATGCCACATTCCTCCTTATAAAGTCCAGCCTCCTGAATTATCTGTTCTGCGTATAGATTGAAATTGTATGGAGATAAGATGCATCCCTGGTGTACACCTTTCCTGATCCTGAACCATGCAGCAGAGCCCTCAGAGCTCAGAAAAATTTGTGACCTTTTTATTAGACCTTTTGATTTTTAAATTTTGCCCATGGTAAATAAATGTGAAGATATTTTAATTTGGGCCAGGTGTTCAAAGCTCCATTTTCAGATGGCTTCTGAGCAAGTGAAACTTATCAGAAATGGAAAGGGCAATGAAGTGTGTAGTGCAAATATCTCTTTATCAAGAATGTAGGTGTAATAAGAGACAATATGCCAGGGGCAGATGTGGCCCTGAAAATGAGCAGCTTGCATTATAGTATTAAAGGCTAAGAATGAGCTAGAAGAAGTGGTATTCTCAGGCTTCCCTTCCAGCACAATGTGTGCTATTTCTTTTGTCATATCCTGAAGACCACCAGTTACCATAAAGTTGATTTAAGTTACAGAAGCCCCACATGTGTCCAAACAGAACTGTGGGCCCAGGATTGGCAAAGATTGATTTTTCAGAACTCACTCACCAGCCCTTTCTCCTGAGACCCCCCTGAATTGATACCAACATCCAGCCTTTCGGCTATCACCCAGGCACTCCATTGTGATTTTCAGAATTTTGAGGGGAGGGGAAACTAGAACATTGATGACAAATGTTCTGTTCGATTCCAGAGTATTCTTCTTCTCCCTTAGAGGGAAGCTGGGGGAATTTGCTTTAAAATACATCAACTCTATATTGACTTGTAAAAGTGGAAGGGAAGTTACTTCTCAGTAACAGTGACCCATAGGCTGAAGGGACTGACATGCCCGGGGCATACAGGTCAGAAGGGAGGCAGAATCTCTCTGTGGCCCCATCCTGAAAATGTTCACCAAAGGGAATGCTGGCACTCCTCCCATCCATGGTCTTGGAGATTAGCTCCAGCGCAGGTGAGTCCCCTGGAAGCCACCTTGCCCCACTGTTGTGCTAACTGAACTAGTGGAGTTAACATATTGCCAAATGCTAATATTCTTTGATAGTAAAGATGATCAAATTATGACCGCAGTTGATCTCAGAAAATGTTCTGCAGCTTTTGTACAGAGAAACCTAAGGCGGAATACCCAGGGATGGTTTACTATCAATCTTGATCTTTTCTACCAACTCCCTGGCATTGCTGAATGAAAAGGCTTCATGATAAGCCCATTTTAGTTTACTTGGCTCCACAGTCAACACTCTTGGTAACAGCAGCCAGGAAATCAGAAGACAAATTGTATTGGGAAAGTCAGCTGTGAGGGACCTCTCAAGACTACTGAAGAGCAACGACATTAGGCTGGAGACTAAGGTGCACCTGATCCAGGCTATAGTCTTTGCAATTAAGTGCTATGCATCAGAGAGTTGGACAGTGACTAGGGATGATAGAAACAGAATTGATGCCTTTGAGTTGTGGTGCTGGAGAAGAGTGTTGAATATACCGTGAACTGCTAGAAGAACAAACGGGTTTGTCCTGGAGAGGGTGAAGCCAGAATGCTCCTTGGAGTCAAGGATTCTTAAGCTTCATCTAACATACTTTGGACATGTTGCAAGGAGGGACTGGTCCTTGGAGAGGCATATCATGTTTGGGAGAGTGTAGGGACGGCGCAGGAGAGGAAGACCCTTGATGAGATGGATCAATTCTGTGAGTGCAGTGGTGGGAATGAGTGTGTTTGAGACAGCGAGGTTGACACAGGATAGAGTGGTGTTTAGGGCTCTTGTACATAGGGTCTCTATGAGTCACAAGCGACTAGATGGCACATAACAACAACAACAACCCTCACAGGTGTCTTTGGGACATTTCACATGTTTTGGAGCAAGAAAGAGTCTGTTTCCTCTTCATTCTGAAGGTCAAACCTTCTGTGATGAAGGTGACCCTCAGCCTGTGCTGAGTTTTTTGTATTCTGTGTGCTGATGGCTGGTGAAGCCCAGATCTGCACACCAGGGATCCTGTGCAGGGAGCTACGGTGAGGGGCCTGGGGCCTATGCATAGCTTGGCTGCAAATTCTTGGAAAGTTTTGTTGTGACTTGAGTCATAAGTTGAGCAAAGGGGTAGTTCTTTGTGGGACAATGTGGAAGGGAAGAAGTGGCTTCCAAGGCCTCAGAGCAGCATCTTTGTGAGCACCAGCAGCCGTCATTATGTGGACAGCCAGCAGAGAGGAATTTCCATAGTAGTGGGCTTGAGAAATGAAAATCTGAGACACTGGCTAATCGCTGCTCCAAAACTTCTAGCTTGATGGGTGCAAATTTTATTTAAGTTTAAGATATTTTTTTCACTGTTCATGACTCTACCTTCCCTCCCAGACAATTGCACTTATTTTATTGAGAGAATTTGTCTAACTTATCTTTTCAAAACCAGATTCATCCATCTGTAATATTTCAAAAACGCCTTAAAACAGTGAATTCAGATTTCTTGCTAATGAAACATTCAAGTGTATCATAGAGATTCTAAGACAGGTAACTGATTAATCACAGATCTTCAAAAGGAAATTCTTTTCAGTGCTGTTTCCTTTTAAGCTAGACTACTGTTTAGGTAGAAATGAGCTTTGTTAAATAGAACTATACAAAAACAACGCATCCTCATCACACGCATTTTAGATTCCTTCGTAGTTACTGAGTCAACATTCTGAATCAAGTCACATTTTTCCAAGAGCCGTAATAGGTAAGAGTTAGGGGTGCTTTGAGCAACAGGTATAGAAAAACCAGCAATCATAGATAAACTGAGGGCCTTATCTTTTCCCTCTCTCACTTAGCAAGTACACCAGATGTAGGTGACTCAATGCTAAGTGCTTCTCCAAAGGTCCCAAGAAAGCCTCTGTTATTATAGCCATCAAGTTCGTGTTGAACAAAAGAAAAAAGCAGCAGAGGATGTGTTATTTTCTCCATCATCCTTTGTCTTACAAACCTGGTCACAGCTGGGTCTGCTTTGACCAGTAAGTGACCCAGGAAAATAGAATGACAACTTTAGGCAAATTATTATTTATCCTCTGAGCCAGGGATGGGATTAAGAGGTCTCCACCTTCTGTCATGACGTAGGTCACACAATTTAATGGGTGAAACAAATGGAACGATCCAGTGTGAAAAGCAATGTACATGAACTTTGTAAGTAAATGAGTGTAAAATTTAAAAAAAAAACCACACACACACAATGTATACAAATTTTTTAAGCAAGCCATTATAAAATAAAAATTTATTTAAGAAAAAATAAGTGGTATCTTTTCTTTCAAAATGAATGTCATGCACAAAATCTTCTACTGTACACACTTTGGTGAAATAAAAGTCATGCTCAGGAAATCCTTTGCAACTGAAAGTTTGTGGAGAAATGATGGCAACACTTGAGGGCTGCTGTGTGCAGGGACAGAGGACAGGGCAGGCCTGTGGGTGAGGTCATCCACGTGGGGATGATCAGCTGCCAGGCTCCAGTTTCCAAAATGATAAAGCAGATAGGATAACTGGTGCAGGTGGCTGGTGTATAGAGGGTTTCAAATGACAGCTACTAATAAGTATTAGACAATCTAATAATCAATAAATATTCATGATAATCACAAAGTATTTAAAGGAGTGAACATATGGTCGTAGTGGAGGAAAGACAGCAAGAGAAGACTTCTTAGAGGAAGCGACATGTTAGCTGCTATCTATTGGATGCAAGGGCCAGCCAGAGATGAGGGGAAGAGCACCCTTGGCAAAGGGAGTGGAAAATACAGAAGCTCAGAGGGAAGAGCCTGCTTGAAGTGAGCAAAGGAAGGAGACCAGTGTGATGAGAGCCGGGGAGGCTGGGAGGGTAGCACCACAGGAGAGGGGGAAGGAGGCGTTATTTCAGGGGTGGGTGTCATTGGCTTTTTATCATGTATGCTGGAAAGCATTTGCAGAAGTCTGAGCAGAGAAATGACATGATCCAGTAGCAGTGTGGGCACTAGTTCAGAGACCATAGCTCAGGTGGAGGAAGAAGAGCACAGCAGTCCCTGGAGAGCACAGGAGCAGACAAATCAGACAGTAGGTTGGATGTAGAATCTTGAGGAGGTGGAAAACTCATTGTTGGGGAATGGAACTGACTCATAGCTTACCCTCCAGCAGGTTTTTAGGGTGCTGTAAATAGCATAGGAGGAGATTGCCCATTTTCCTTCTGAGGAATTGCTGGTGAATTCCAACACCAGAAAGGTGCCACCTTTGGGGTATCAGCACAGTTGTTTACAGGTACCCCACAGAGATGGAGGAGAGGAAGAAAGGAGGGCTGCTAGCCCAAAGGCAGCACTCGCTGGTGGCTCAAGCCAGCCGCGGCTCTTGGTGAGAAAATGGAGCATCTCCCACAAGATTTACAGCCTCAAGAACCCAACGAAGAGGAAGTTCTGAGTCAAGTCTGACTCAGCAGCAATGAGAGTTAAAGTTTTTATATTGATTTGTAGACTTGAAACTTGTTTGTGGAGGGAACAACAAAGCCTAAGGGAAAATTCATCCAGGCAGTAGAAATCAAGATTTCTGTTTAACTTTAATTTGACTTCCAAATGGAGATACCAGAAAACAGTTATTTTTGCTGTTGTTAGGTGCCATTGAGTCACCTATCACTTATAACAAAACCTATGAAGAACAGATCTGAACCTTGCCCTATCCTCGGGATCTCTGTCATGCTCAGGCCCAGTCACTGTGCCGATCCATCTCATTGAGGTTCTTCCTCACTTTCATCAGCCATCTACCCATACCTGCATGATCTCTCTCTCTTCAAGAACTAGATCATCTTGAAACGTGCTCTAAAGACAAAGTTTCACCATCCTTGCCTCTAAGGAGCACTCTGGTTATACTTTCTTCAAGACAGATTTGATCTTTTGACAGTCCATGAGATATTCAGTACTCTTTACCAATGCCAAAATTCAAAAGCATTGCTCCTTCTTAAGTCTTCCTTATTCCTTTTCCAACTTTCAGATGCATAGGTAGTAACTGAAAATACCATGGCTTGGATCATCTACACCTTAGCCTCTAATCTGGTGTCCTTGCTCTTTGGAACTTTGGTGAAGTCCCTGCACCAAATTTCCCAATGCAATATGTCTTTTTCTTTCTTTCTTGACTGATGTCATCACTGCTGCTTATGGATGTTGTTGTTGTTGTTGTGTACTGTTGAGTTGGAACTGACCCATAATTGACCCTCCAGGAGTTTTTTCAGAAGCAGTAAATTTCACAGGAGGAGATTGCCTATCCTTCTACCATGGAGCAGCAAGTGGACTCAAACCACATGCCTTTAGGATTGCAGTGTAGCTTCTTTCCACTAGGCCAAATTAAATCATTGACAACTACAATCTTTTCTTCATGTCTTATAATATTTCCCATTGGCTCAGTGGGCTGGAAACAGTATGACATGAGAATCTAGAGCTCAAGGAGAGGTCTAGAGTAGATGTGTAAATTGGGGATCATTATCATGTACTTTATGTAGATGGCACAACCTTGCCTGCTGAAACTGAGGAGGACCTGAATTGCTTGCTGCAGAAGGTCAAGGACTGTAGTTTTTAATGTTAATTGCAGCTTAACATCAAGAAAACAAAGATTCTCACCACTGGTTCAATTGACAGCATCATGATAGATGGAGGAGAGATTGCTTTTGTTAAAATTTAGAACTTGCTTGGCTCTACAATCAACACTCTTAGCACCAGGAGTCAGGAAATCAAAAGACGAATTGCACTGGGAAAATCTGCTGTGAGGATCCTCTCCAAAGTACTGAAAGGCAACAATGTCAGTCTAGAGACTAAGGTGTGCCTGATCCAGGCCATAGTCTTCACAATTGCTTGCTATATTCATAGCATTGTTCAGAGAGCTGAGCAATGACTAAGAATGACAGAAGAAGAATAGATGCCTTTGAATTGTGGTTCTGGAGAAGAGTCTTAAACATATCCTTTAGCACCAAGAAAAAAATTAAGTCTGTCCTGGAGAGAGTGAAACCAGGTTTCTCCTTGGAGACTAGGATTTTGAAGCTCCTTCTCACATAATTTGGGCATGTGGCCAGGAGAGACCGGTCCTTGGAGAAGGACATCATGCTTGGAAGGGTGGAGGGACAGCACAGGAGAGGAAGACCCCAGATGAGATGGATAGATACAGTAGCTGGGGCAATGGGCACTGATGTTTCGGAATCAGTGAAACTGGCTTAGGACAGGGCAAGCTTCGGAACTGCTGTACATAGATAAGGTCGCTATGAGTCGCAGGTGGACTCGAAGGCACATAACAACAACAATGACATTATTTACTTGATATTTATAACTACAGACCTGGATAAGATCACTAAAGAATAGATAGAGAGTAGAAGGCCCTTCTTTAATGATTGAACTGAGAAAGTAGAAGAGGCAATGGGATGAAGATAGAGAAATTCAGGGTCCGGAGGAGTGTGGTATTCAGAAAGCCCAGAGAAGAAAGTACACATTAAGGGGTGCAGATAATCATCTTTCAGATTCTGTTAAGAAATTTACCTGGATGACAGAGACTGCCTCTAAGTTTGTGTAGATGTTGGACACTTGTGACAGTGCCCCGTGTGCTGTTTGGGAGGATTGATGGGAAGGACTGGGAAAGCTCCCTAGTGAGTGGTCGGCTCAGAGATGGAATGTGCAAGGCTCTTAGAGAAGGTAGGGGATGAGAGAAGTAAAGAAATAAAGCAGACATCAGCGGGTTAGACACCCTGGTTGCTCCGCTCAACAATGTATCACGTACACCCTTTGTGTCAGTACATACACATTTGCTCGGTTCTGTTTAACTGGAGCACTTACTCATCCCTTACATTATAACCACCTTGCTTATTTACAATCCTTCATTTTATAAACTTTTTGTACCTACATCCTTCTTTAATTCCTTTTTATATTTAATATAAACTTCTAAACAAAAAATCTGAAGACAGAATAGGTAGGGTGAGCACATTTGTCGTTTCTTCATCAAACCATTCTCAGGGATCCTTTCCCTGAGACAAAAATTATATTTAGTTCCCTTAGTGTTACAGCAAAAGAAGACATAGAAATTAAATTATTCTCTTTTTAATCTTGAAACTACTAAAATACAAATTTGGAAACAGTAGTAGTTATGGTTATGTGACATGGTGTACATCACATAGTGTCACTAAGTTGTATACCAAAAAAATGTTGAAATCACAAA